AGTGCTGGATCAGGACCTAGTCGAGCAGTGGCCCTGGCCTTTGTCAACAGTGGTTTCAAAAGGGCAGGATTAAATAAGCCCTTGAAAGCAGGCCTGGGTGGTTGGTCTGATGATCTGATCCCCATCCGAAATCTCTCCCTCCTCCAGATAGTCTTCTGCATAGTCAACTGGCTCAGAAGGGGAAGGGGAGACATGCCCAAGGTAATCCTCAGAAGGGGCAATAAAGCCCTGGGACTCCACCTCCGGTCTAAGGGCATACATCTGGGCAAACATCTGTGACTGAAGCTGCATCCCTTCTGCAATGCCCTGCCTAATTGCCTGCTCCACCCAGGACTTCATGGAATTCTGAACATCCAGCTCCCCCCTTTCATCCTGGCGAAGGCCAGCCGCTGTGGGGGTAAAGGTGGCTTCAGGGCGTTTGTTGGTCCCAGAAGGCTCTGGACACTGCTGGGGCTCAGCCTGCATCTCTGGAGACCAAGCCCTAGATGGCCCAGCCAAGGTGGGAGAATGGACAGTCTGAGGAACAGAAACTTCCACAGTCTGAACTGATGGCTGAAGCGTAGTCACAGTGGCTTGAGGAGTGTCAGCAGCCGAATTAATGGCAGCAGCCCTTGCAAATTCTCTGTCCAAGGCACGTTGTCTAACTTGAGCTGTCTTTTCCTCAGCCTTGGAACGCCCGGGGCGAGCTCTAGCCTTGGCCTTAATTTTATTAGCTGCAGCAATGCTGGCAGTTCGTGGCCTAGAAGCCCTGCCCCTTGAGCGTAATACAAAATGTCTCCCGGTCTCAAAATGGCCGCTGGTCAACTGCCACAGTTTAAACCAAGGCCCTCTCTGAAGATTAGAAGCAGTATCAGGTCAGGCCGGCAAGCAAACCCGCAGATAAAAATACCTCTGGTCATAAATCCACGCTCTCCACTGCTTCTCTAAAACAAATTCACCAGCGCTGTGCCCAAAGGCTGCCAGGGGAACAATGCCGCCTGAACCAAATTCGCGCCAAAATGCGCGGGGACGAAGGCCGCCGCGACTTATAAGCCGCCATTACAAGCCAGGATGTAGCGTGGTCCTGGCGCCAGGCACACACTCCTCAGTCACCGTTTCAAATCCACCAGCCAACGCCAGGCTGGTGGGGCTGCAGCAAGTCCCAAGGCCCCCAAAAAGGCAAAAAAACACCGCTCCGCCTCCCAGCTGACGAGCGGTGATCAAAGGGACGCCGCGGCACTCCAAAATGGCGCGCGCGGCTCCCGCGGCAGCTTGAGAAGCCCGGGAAGCTTCTGCAGAGAATCTGGAGGGACCGGGGCGAAAGCCAGCCGGCTAGCCCCTCACCGCCGCCCCCAGGATAGGGAAGGGTGGGGGGAGAACAAAGCCCCCCCCATGCTCAATCCAGGGACTGGAGAGCTTCCCTCTGACCAGTACCTGGGAATCCAGAAGAAAGCAGAATAAAAATAAGCAGCAACTAGCAATACCAAATTAATAAAATAAAAGAAAGAAAGAAAGAAAGAAAATCCAAGCAATTCCAGGGAAAAGGGTACCTTTTTATTCTGGCTCAAAGCTCAGGAGCTAAAACTTGCAACCATGAGCTGTGCTGAGCTGAAAAAAACTGAAGAGACGTCACCAGGGAGGCGGATCTTCAGAACTTTTCAGCTCAGGACATAGAGCTAGAGCAAGGAATACCCAGACTGGCACCTCCCATTTCTACACTATGGAGAAGACAGGGTATACACATTTTAAATAAGCAACCTTGACTAGATCTATTTTTATTATATACAATATTGGATTACCAGTTCAGTTTGGACATTGTTAACTATGGTTTGTACCAGTTGTAAAATGGGAAGACACTACAAATGATTTGGGCTTCTAGACATGTTACAGGAAAACATGTAGGTTTTAGAGCTGCTTGATAACATCCAACAGTAAACATCCATTTACTCAATACTCAGCTTTCTAAAAGTTTAACTTCACCACTGCAGCAGGGGTGAAATCCAAAAGTTTTCCCTACCGGTTCTCTGCGTGTGGCTTGCTGGGCGTGGCAGGGGAAGGATATTGCAAAATCTCCATTCCCACCCCACCTACCCAGAGGTGGTACTTGCCAGTTCTCTGAACCACTCAAAATTTCCGCTACCGGTTCTCCAGAACCTGTTAGAACCTGCTGGATTTCACCCCTGCACTGCAGCCATGATACAATGGCTTCTTGAAGTAGATAAATTATGATGAATGTCTTCCTGTGTTCCTAAGAACAGTGCCTCAAGAGAAGGCATCATTACTAGACAGAAACTAAGCAGAATCAGTCTTGGTCAGGTAAAGGGAGGTTTTCTGAGAATTCCAGTTGAGACTTGAAGTTGAAGTTGAAAAACATTCCAGAAAAATGTTTTCCTTAGTATGTCCAATCTATTCCATAATACTGCCAAGAAAACTACAGGAAGGCAGTCACCAGAAATTAAGGGAAAAGATTTTTTTTTAATCCAAGAATAAGGAATAAACAAAAGTTATATAGCACCACTGCCATCAAAATACATAACTATCAAATCATATTCAGGGGGAAAAAATATTTTTATTTTTTGCTTTTTAGAGGGGTATGTTTTTTTAAAAGGGAGAGATATGGATAATCTATCAGGATCAAGAATGAAGACAATCACCATCACATTATAAATTGAGGAAATTATTGTCCTTTCAGGAAGATTACGTATTTCAATGATTGAATCATGGAGCCAATCTGAGCATATCAGCATTGGATGACAGTAAAATGACAGACATATCTGAATGTCCTCCATTATTGCCCAATCTTTATCCTTTACATCTCTTCTTCCAAGGAGCTCAGAGTAGTGTGTGCAAAATATGCACACACATATATACACACTTTATCTCACAACAGTCCCAAGAGTCAAGATAAGCTGAAAGACAATGACAGGCAAAACTTCAACTAGTCACCTTCTTGATCAAATTGAGATTTTGTTCAGAGTGTCCCTAATCCCAATTAAATGTTCTCAGCACTGCTCTGTAATAATTTACAATTTGTATTCTCCTCAATGTTTCCAATGCCAGAAAAAACAACAGCACTTGAGCATCTCAGAAGGAGACACCTTGTCCAAAGTTGTATCAGGCATGTATTTTAAGACATTTTTCAATGTCAACATGCCTAATAAATTCAGGAAATTCAAGAACAAAAAAGTTTCTATCCAAATAATAAAAATATTTATTTATTTATTTATTTATTTATTTATTTTTGCGATTTATATGCCGTCATTCTCCCGAGGGACTCAGGGCAGCTTACAAAAACAATATCCAATACAAATCACAATAAAATTAAAATCAACAACCCAATTAAAACAATTTAAAATTATAACAATATACACCCATAATGGATCAGTTAAGTTGACGAAAGAGCCACGTCTTCAACTCACGACGGAAGGAAAGGAGGTCGGGGGCTGTCCTGAGCTCGGTGGGCAAATCATTCCAGAGGGTCGGAGCTCCCACAGAGAATGCTCTCCTCCTGGGGGCCGTCAGCCAATATGGCTGTCCCAATATGCTATTGGGACAGCCAACAGTTTACTTGTGGGACTCCGTCTCCCTGAGGATATCTGTCCTGGGTACACTCCAGGTCCTCTCCCTTAAATGTTGCCATCTGATGGGACCTCAGAGGCGTGCCTTATCAGTGGTCACCCCAAGTCTTTTGGAACAGCCTCCTATTGGAAATCAGAGGAACCCCTAGCCATTTGGCAAATTTGGGCACTTAGCAACCAGTGAGCATTTGTGATTATTGTAGCATCTCATGATCACATGATCACCATTTGAGTACTTCACATCCCATTTCCAACAGAGTCAATAGAGAAGCCAGCAGTAAAATCACAAACTGTGGTCATGTGATGGCTAACTGCAATCATTGCAGTGATTCACTTAATGACCATTGGGGAAATTACAGAGTTGCCAGTCCCAAATGTGATTGTTAAGTGAGTATTACCTGTATATTTCATAATTTCACTAATCAAAGTCCTTTTAAAATAAATTTTAATCAGAAAAGCATCATAGGACCTTACAGGGGTCTCTAAAGAATTACAAGAAATTGTACGGAAGGAATTCAACATAAACGTTAGAAAGCATGTTTTCTTCTGTCATTCAGCTATAAGAAAATATTTGAAAAGAACACTAAAGTATAGCAGGTAAATAAAATATTCTGCATTTTCCTAGCGTGATTAATGTCAAACAAGTAACCATTCTTTCTCATACAGAACCACTCTCACAACAAACATATTTTACAGGCACACAAACGTACTTCTTCCTCCTTCCAATAGAAACAGCAAAACAGAAAAAAAAACAGAGTGAAGATACAGCAAGAGGAAAAGGTGGCTGCAGCAGGAAGAGAATGAAAACAAAGGGGAAATTTGAAGGAGAAGCTATGAAAACAAAAATTAGCTAGAAGGAGAACAAAACAAAAGAATACAACTTCTGCTTAGGCAATACAGTTGAACAAGTCAATTTAACTAGCCAAGCAGTCCTCAGATGATGACTAATCTTCAGGCTTATCTTCAGAGGCAGTCAGGTTTTTCAGCAGTGATCACTGCAGACATCTCACTCTGACCCAACTGTTTGTTTTCAACAGTTCCTTCTATTTATGTCAGGAATGCAAGACAAATTATGATTTGGAACTGATCATGGCTAACAAAATGGTTTATGTATAACGCTGGCCTACAATTACATCCAGAATCAGGAGTGGAATCTGTACAAGTGAGGTTTACACAGTAACAAGTTATCTTGATATTCTAATTGTAATTAGAATCCATAATGAGATATACAATGGATATGTAATACATATGGGATATATTATTCCTTTGTGCCCAAGTCAGTGTGACTCTTGATCCTTGGCAATAATGTGGACAAGTCCCTGCAATTTTCTTGGGAACTTTTTTTAGAAGTGGTTTGCCATTTCTTGGCAATCCAATTATTCTATTTCACGATGAACAAAAATATATTCCCAAATTATTTAATTATTTGAAAAAGATGCTTACCAAATACTATTGCTTTAGCAAAAGGAGGAAACAATTCTGTATGCCTGAATAAGTGCTTATGAATCTGCCAGAGTTCTTTGTGCAATTTCTTAAAGTCACTGTATCTCTTCCAAACGACTATCTGAAGCAAAACAAAATAAAACAAAACAGAAAACAAACATACCCATGAGGCAATTAGTCCTTCTAATAAAGCATTTATAAAAAAAATAGCAGAAACCAATACAGTCACCAAAAATATTAGCTAACAGTATAAACCTATATTTTGTTGTGATATCATTTTTCCTTCCCTCCCTTTTCTACCTGAAGAACAGATCTACTAAGATGTATTAAGTAAGAATTTTAATCCAAGAAATCACTTCATACTTAGTTTTGTTCATAAACTAACGGAGAGAATTCTAATTGAATTCTTCCCTAATAATGTATTTAAATTCAGTTTAGTCATGTAAGATATATTTCTAATGTACTGTTTCAGGCCATTTTAAATCTGTAAATAACTGCACAGAAATAGCTAAAAAAAAAAAGTAAAGGTTTCCCCTGTCCAGTCGTGTCAATGCTCAGCACTGTTTTCCTAGCTGAGGGAGCCAGCATTGTCTGAAAACACTTCTATGGTCATGTGGCCAGCATGACTATACTTTGAGGCACACAGAATGCTGTTACCGTCCCACCAAAGTGGTACCTATTTATCTACTTACATTTGCATGCTTTTGAACTTCTACTGCTTTTGAATGTCACGCAGTATGTATAAATTCATATTTGCAAAAAGATATTGTGTAACTTCCTACCTAGAGGTTGGCCAGCTTTTGTTTATTTAGGCATTCATTGAAACATACCAAGGGTGCTAAACATTTGCATGCAACTGTAAACCTTCACTGCTACACAACGGAGGACTATAACTTCTTCGGTCAATATTTTTTTTTCTAAAATATGATTAAGACATCCATTAAATCTTTACCAATTGCCCAAATGGGGAAACAAATGAAGAAGTCTTAAATAATTATTAAATACACCAGGATAATCTAAACTGGGTTGTAAATATTAACCTAGACAATTCTTTTTTATAAAAAATAGATAATCACAAAATAACAGGCTTTGTGTATCTGTTCTTACAAATAGCAATAGCACTTACTTATATACTGCTTCACAGTGCTTTATAGCCCTCTCTAAGCGGTTTACAGAGTCAGCATATTGCCCCCAACAATTTGGGTTCTCATTTTACCCACCTCGGAAGGATGGAAGGTTGAGTTAACCTTGAGCCTGGTGAGATTTGAACTGCCAAATTGCAGTCAGTCAGCAGAAGTAGCCTGTAGTACTGCACTCTAACCACTGTGCCACCACGGCTCAAATAAAGAAAGATACAAAAATACTTTCATGTATTAGCAAATCCCCTCTCTCTCTCCCTCCTTCCCTCACCGCCCCCCCCCCTTTCTCTCTTTTGCAAAGCTACCCACATAACCCTATTCCTTTTCTGCAACCTATCCTTGTTTTCCAATGGATTTATTTGTTGTAAAAATCCAGTGCCTGCCTGGAATTCTTAACTGTTTCTTAAGAATTGCTTTTTCTTTTTAGGGGCATCAAGATCCCATATACCCCATAATGTACACATACATTTGCACAAACATAAGTTATTAAAAAGATAACATTATTCAGAATGTATAAATTCACAGGCATATTCAGCAATCCCATCATTCCCTTTTGGAATAAGTAACACAGAATGCAGAAAAGAAGTAGGAAATAGGAAACCACAGAAATTAGAGTTATGAAATAAGAAAAGGTTAAAATTAGTACACATCAACACAATTCTCTCATTATACTTTTGCATTCTTTTCTAGCCTTACAAATCATGCTTGTTTCCACCACTTCGCACACTGCATTTTGTCCCACAAATTTCTCATCCCTTTATTCTTGGACATCTCATCAACTCCATTCAACCCTTACTTTCTTGGTCTTTCCCTCCTCCTGCCCAAGTCACTCTTCTTTTATACCTGTCTTGTAATTCAGCCCCTTTCCATTTTTTTCCCCAGATAGTCCCATTTAACAACAGTCCTCAGCTACTGTGGTGATAAACATAACATTACAACCAATCCTTCCATTTACGACTTTTGCAGGTTTGTAAACCAAAGGAAAGCTGAAATAAGATCACAAGCACAATCACAGTTTCATTTAATGACTGCTTAGCTTAATGACTAAGTTCCAATTGTGGCCATTAAATGAGGACTACCTGTATATGACCAAAGCAACTCTGTGTATTTCTTTCATTCTGGTCAATCACTTTTGCATTCAATCCACATTCATTCAGCACTCATGTTATTATTTACATGTTCTGTTCGTTCCCATTGCCTTCAATCTACTTTTTGCCCTGATGTACTTAAGTCTCTTCCCTATAGCAGAATGGACAGAAGTATACTCTTCAACCCTTTTCATTTCTTTTGATAAACATTTATTCCTAACAGCGGACCACAACTACCTATTATCTTTCTACCAGAATAATGCATATTTTAATGTCCTTCTGTCTTAACCTAGTGCCCTTGTTGTCCACCACTTGGTATTGAACTATTTTTAATATTTCTATAGCATGTGTAAGAATTAAACATTATTCCAGGTATTGGTGCTCAAAGATTTAGAAGTGACTAATTTGCATCTTCCAGTTAAAAATTCAGATCAGAAAGAATAAGAAACTCTCTTGGCAATTCTGCCTTTCTTCTATTTCTCTGATGCTGTTTCTGACTCCAAGAAATGTTAAAATGCTAAAAAAGCATGATTGTATATTATTTATTTTACTACTGTATATAAAATATTTTCCTAGCTCTAGAACTTTTTATACATAGTTATATATAGTGTACAGCTAGGAGAAAGGCCTACCAAGCTCAACAGAAACATCTATGACTATTTTCTCAAAAGAAAGACAAAAAAAGGTAAACAAATTGTTCAGAGATATATGTATTTTATTCAGCTAAAATTGGAACAGATAATTTAAAGCTTTTTGGCTAGGCTAGATTTTTTATATAATAACATCAAAGCGCTGTTTACAGTTGTAAACATTAAACTTGTTTTTAAAAAGTTAAAATAAATAGCCAGAAGACATAAGTTTCCAGTTTCAGCCTTACATAGTCTACAAGTTATCTGTTTGCCAGTATCAAGTGATATTAACCAATTGTCACATTTGCCAAGCTAAATGAAATGTCTCCACTGAATAACAAGCCAGTAAGTTGTTTTAAGTGTTTTTGAATATGTATTTTAAAAAACACTACTAAATTCAGCATGAATATATAGACCAACTAAATCTAACAAGGCAAATCATTCTAAAAATCTAGATGAAGTTGCATTATATAATACAGATAAATAATATTAATTATCTTACATTAAGTTACATGAATTTGAGAGGCTAGTGTTTGTAGCATTGATATATTTTTGATATTATTGTACATATTATATTTTTAGAGTTGGAAGGACTGAATCCATAAAAGCACTTTAAATATTGTAAGTAAAAAAGCAAGCAAGCAGGAAGATAGTTGGGGGAATATGTTGTAAGGGCCCTGTAATCCTTGCAATGGTCCATGGTCAATTTCTCCTCTCCAGATCTCTTCAGGGTGGGGTGAGTATATGACTTTCCTTATACACCATCCTATTCTCTCACTCAGGAGGTGGACCATAAGCCTCTTCAATATTCCTCCCTTCTTCCACCTAACCACCTTCTGCTCATGTCCCCCTTCCATTTCCTATCCAATCACAGACCCATGCAATTTTTCCATATACTTCAAGCAATCTTTCCTGTTCCTCTTTTTCCACCCCAACTCCTACATATAATATTCTTTCCATCTTCATCTTCCCCACTCTTGTCTCCAATAGTCTTTAGTCTAATTTTCTCCCAAGATTCCTCCAACTCTAATCTGCACCACTGTCCTTTAGTTGAATTTTCTTCCAGTTCCTTCTCTTTCTGTACACAGTAGATGGAGTTTTAATTCTTCCCTTCTAAGTTCTGATTCTGAGGAAGATTCTGTTCCTCAGCGCTGCATTTGTTTATTATTTATTATTATTTAGACTTCTATGCCGCTTCATAATGCTTTACAGCCCTCTCTAAGCGGTTTACAAAGTTAGCATATAGCATATTGCATATTAGCATATTGCATTAGCATTAGCATATTGCCCCCAACAATCTGGGTCCTCATTTTACCCACCTCGGAAGGATGGAAGGCTGAGTCAACCTTGAGCTGGTGAAATTTGATCTGCTGATCTGCTGAACTAGCAGTCAGCTGAAGTAACTGCAGTACTGCACTCTAACCACTGTGCCACCTCGGCTCTTTATCACTGGAATTGATAAATACCCTGCCTGCAAGAAGATGTTCTTTAAACTCTTTGAATGTTGGGATGGTTGCTGATGAAATTCATTGAGACTGCAATGAAGGAAAAATGTGTCCTCTGCTGCATCCTGTCTTAACAGACTGGCCTTCTCTGAGATTAGAAGCTAAACTGGGTTGGAAAGGAATACCAAAGGCTGTATTCTAAAATAAGAAGTTGAAAAATCATCCTAAAAATACATGTTATGTCCACACTACTGTCAAGTAAACTACATATACAGTATATGTGTATAAAAGAGACTATTTTTTTCAGTCACCAGTCCGCCCCAGCCCCACGACTATTGAAAGCCCTCAGGAATACATATCACCAATTTCACCAACTTTTAGCTGTGGACCCAACGATGCTGCTCTTGGCTGTCTTACTCTGTTCTTTTTATGAATGTTTTTAGAGTTATCATAATTGCTCTGACCACTCTGCTTTGTCTGCTATCAACCCCATTTTATTTTCTCCCTAGGAACAGATACTGGTTCAGAAATAAGCACATTGCATTAATGCATATTTGCATTAAAAGGGGCCAAAATCAATGCCTTCCAGCCAGTTAAAAAGATCAGGAAACAGGGGTAAGAATGACTTCTACCTGAGAGTCTGACATCAGAGAAGACAAATACTGAGCTGAACGATTTGAGAGTCTGGTCTAGAATAAAGAACTTTCTTAAATTTCCTTCATTTTTTATCAAATCTGTTTTGCATTCCTTTCCTCTCACCTTGTAACTCACTGAATCACATTTAAAATCTGTGTAATTCTTGACACTCTGCCGTCTCTCAAATCATATTTCTGTATTTATTTTAAAATATATATCTCAACTTGACAGTGCATTGTTATGACTTGCAGGCAGCTTTGGGGTGGGGGGTTATGGCATTATCATGCAGATGTTGAGACTTATATATCTCCTGGTAAGAGTCAATGTTGTTTTAAAAGGACAAACTAGCACAAATGTAAACAAAAGAGCCTTCATACCTCTTGGACATCTTCTGGATTTTTTCGTGAAACAATCTGAAAAACAAAAGCAAGGTCTTTTTAGTGCTCAAGGCTTTTAAAAGGATAAAAAATAACAAATGAAATAATATAATTAACACAGACTGAACTAGGAAATCAGTTTTATTGTGGAATCCTTGGTGCTCTGTGAGTTTAGTTGCAGATGTTTCATTAACCAATTAGTTAACATCATCAATGTGACAGAGTGTGGGTGTTACATGTACTCCCAGATCCAATTTATGGTCACTCACTCACATATTTACAGCCCTGGTGGTCAATAACCAGAAAATAATTAAACAATTACCTCAGATCACTTTCAACCAAAAACTGAGGCATGGCAGGTTCTTTAGAATTCATAAGTGATCCAGTGAATCGAAAATAATAGCAAAACTTTACTGGTTACAATGTACATTTGCTCTTTCTCATATGCACGTACACACATACCCTCCAGGTCCTTCTCAACTAGACTAACAGACACTAAATAAAGAGATGGAAGACGCCAAGTCTGGATCGAAAGCAACTCAAAGTCTTTAGGGCAGACTTTAGAATCCCTTTAATCCCTCAAAGTCTTTGCTTTACTGATTCATAAGACTCACAACTACTCTGTCCTTGTTCATTTATAAGGAGGAGGAGGATGGAGGAGGAAGAGGGAGGAGATGGGAAGAGATGGGGGAATGGTTTCCATGTGCTCAAGGCCAATTTCTTTTGTCTTTTCCTTTGTTTTCTCAAGGGCTTGATTCCTTTTTAACTACCTCCCCAATGAAATCTTTAGACACTTCAGCTGTAGATATGGCAATTTCAGCCTAGCCTCACACATTCCTCCTTTTGGCATTGAGTTAAACAGGAGACGCCACCAAATGGAGCTCACTCATCACCCAGAGCATTACAGGTTTTTTAATGTATTCTTGACAATAGGTTTGCTATCCAATCGGCATAGACATATATTATTTCAAAAAAAAATTTTAACACATTGAAAAATTGAGGAAATTAATATAAAGGAAAACAATACAAATAGCAAGATTATGATAGTTCTCACTTAAGTTGGAGTGCTCGGCTTATCTGTGTGGCATACAGAAGCACCCAATGGCAGAATCCCACCCACCACCATGCTCACATAACAAAAAGAAATATTTAGCTAAAAATAAAAGGGTAGAATCATAGCAGATACTGTAGACCTTTCCACAGATTTAAAAAACAGGAGATTTGTAGGGCAGTGGATATTTATGATTCTCCAAGTTAGTGAAATATTGACTCCTATTGGTTGCATCTAAAAGATGTAGGGCGACTCTCTTCTGGTTTGTCCATGGTTTTAGTTCTGGAAGTGGTCCAAAGTGAAAAAAAGCATTCCCTCCCATGAGTTATTAGTAAAATCTTTTAAAGCAGTAACAGCTTTTAGACTTGAGGGTATACCAAAGAAGCAGAGGGATGTGACATTCCTACCGAAAAAAGTCACCCTACGCAATAGGGGGAGGGCGGGGACAAAAGCGGGAGAGGAAGACAAAAGTAATCATAGCATTTATATAGATATAACATGAGAGTGGTATTACTATCCATTTATGTCCAGGTACACTAAGTGGGATGAAATTACATCAACTGTGTGTGGTTCCTTCCACGGTGACCCCCAGAGCTGCCAAACCCATTTCCCCCTCAAGATTATCTAGCAGAACTGTCACCTGGGAGCCCAGGCAGTGACAAAGCATCCATTTGTTGGTCGTCTCCAGACTTTCTCAAGGAATAACTAATCACTCGAATAAAACATTCAGAGGGTCAAATCCATGCATCCCATCTCAATACCAATAAAAATGTTACACATGCTCCCAGGTTCAGTTTATGGTCAGAAACTCACAGCCCTATTCAACAGCCAGGAAACAATTAGGGACATGCTCAAAACACTTTCAACCAAGAGCATGAGGCACAACAAGTTATTTGGAATACACAAGAGACTCAGTGAATTTAAAGTAACAGCAAAACTTTACTGATTTCAATGTACATTTGTTCTTTCTTAGACACTCATGCACACACACACATATACACATTCATATACATTCACCCACACTGTTTTCAATTAGGGAAACCATCAGGTCTGGATCCAAAAAGTGGGCAAACTTCTTTGGGGAAAATAAAGGGGGAAAAAAGGGGAAACAGAAATAATACTCTATTGCTTATTTTTGTGATAATATGGATTGTATGTGTTGAAGATCAAAGTAAAGAAAAGTCGACACAAAGGAAATTAGATTATTTAAGTAGATTAAGATAAAGTTAGATATATGTAAATAATAGGGCACTGATTTCTGTTTGATTGTTTGCCTGGTGTTAAATCTCTGCTTATCAGGATGTTGGCTGGTAGACAGGATATGTTCCTGTTGTTTTGTTCCCTTCTTAGTTTTTTTTATTGTCTCTTTTTAATGATGTGTAAATATGATTTACTTCTATGTGTCTATTGTTGGCTGATTTGTCTGGTGTCAAGCTTCCAGGAATTCCATAGTATTTTTGGATTTAGCCAAATTAACTCTGAGCATCCAGGTCATATATTAGCATAAATAGGGCCACAGATAAGGGAGGAGTATCATATGGCTTCTCACATACTATATACTGTTATTCATAAAAAGTACACATAGTTTATCTGTGAATCTGTATATTTGATTGGGAGCTGCCCAGAATTAGTTATAAGAGTTAGCCCATAAGATGGGCAGCTCTATAGATGTTTTAAATAAATAAATAAACTTGCCATTCATTCTTTCTTCTTTTCTGTCTACACTGAAAATAGTGGAGTTTAAATTTAACCTCTGACTTCTAAATATACACAGGATGATGACTTTTCAAGGACGGATGGAAGCTATTTTAAAAGAAATCATACTAATGATATATGGCTGCTGAATGAAGGCAACAAAAGAATTGCAAATAGAAAAGAAGATGAACTACTCTATTCCTATTCGTCCAAGAAGAGGATATGTTTTCCACCAGACAGTTTGTGAATAGCAGACAGAAGGAGCAATATGTCAGGTTGAGTTTCTATCAAACACAATCAAGGTTTATCTTCTGACCTTGAATGAGTTAGATCTCCATGGCCAGAGAGAGTGCACTGATGGTCTAACTGAATTTCTATTCAAAAACTAGGCAAAATTTTATAGAACAGGCAATATTGACCATATTTTAAAAGGTAGAAAAAGAAGGATTCAGGCAATCTAGTGCTGATATCCAGGAAAATTCTACAGTAGAATATAAAATCAATATATAAACATCTTTAAAACACAGAGATGTTTTAAAATCCTGATGCAGGATTTTTAGCTTAGCAATAGTACATGTAAAACAATCTTTGAATTGGAATACATCAGAATCTGAATGCCAATCAGAAGTGAGAGTGGCTGCCAATAAAGCAAATGTATTGATAATACTGAACTTCAAATAAGTGGATTATATCAACCAGCAACTCCATGTAGATATTAAGCAGGATAGAAAAGACAGACGAGCCCCATGGCACCCCACAGAGAGGTGGTCTCAGGGAATGACTTCTCTCCTCCATCCAGAACCATCTTAAGGAAGAAATAGAACCACCATAAAAAGATGTCCCTAATTTCCCACACCTGGAACCAGTGCATCACATCTATCCAAACAACACCACAGGTCATCTACATATGTAAGCAAACTATCCCCAAGCTAAATCCCAGCCTGATACTCCACTGAAACAAGTCTAGATAGGATTTATGCAACTGCAAACCAATCCCCTTCTAAATAACCTTTCCCCAAAAGGAAAGGTTGATGACAAGGATATGAGTTATGTAAAGCCTCCGGTCCAAGGACAGCTTTTTGAAGATGAAACATGTCACTGCCTCTTTTAAGGCAGGAGGCATCACCCCCTCCTTCAAAGAACTGGACATCACAGCATGGACCCAACCACATATTACCTTCATGATCTAAAATGATCTAAATCTAGCATGCAGGTGGTTGAGCTAACAGCACTTAGGAACCTGTCCACTTTCTCAGGAATCACCAGTTCAAACTCATCCCAAATCATACAAAACCAAGCCACCAAAACTTGATTCCAGTCAGAGTCCCAAGTTTTCAAAAAGATCCAGATAGTTTAATTTTTTACTGAATAAATTTAAAGGAAGTATTACTGACAACTACATTATGAAGAACATAAGAAGCTACATGTTCTAAAGAGTATCAGAGAGTCTATGAAGATAAATCCTACTTCATTATCCTTTTAAAGTCAATAGATCTTTTGACAGGGACACATGGATTTTCAAAAGATTTCTGTCAAAATACCTTTTCAAAATAAACATAATATTCATGAAGCACTATCTTCTTATGGAGCAGTAACTGGTTAAAAAGAGAAAGCAAAGAATAAAAATGGGCAGTTCTTGCGATGGATGGATCTAAATGGTGAGGACCCAGAGTTCTGTACTGGAACTAGGACATTTCATAATGGTCATTAAAAATTGAGCAAAAGAGGCAGGGGTGACCAATGAGCTATAAATTTTTGTAACAATATCAAATGGTTTTACATAATTAAAGTAAAAAGATGAAAAATGTCCAAAAGGAGTCTATAAACTTGCAGAATGAGCTTTAAAACGGTGAATGTTGCTCGAAATAATAGGAAGAAAATGTGTCATGTAGTTTTTCTACAAGGCTTCAAAACCAAAATGTTATCCCATTAACTCTGGGATTAAAAATATTAATTGGTTTATTCCCTTAATCAAACCCTTTACGATTTGAACACCCACCCATCTCTCATCTTTGAGATAATGGGATTTCATGGAATATGAGGAAGCTGTAAAATAGTATACCCATTTTAAAAACATTTAAACAAGACAGGGACTAGTTTTTTACTACTTATCTATTGGCTGTCAAGTCTTGTTTTCCCCAGGACTAAATGTATATTTATAAATTTGTCACTGTGACAGATTGAAATCACCCTAGGGCTAGGACTCAGAGCTTCTCTCAGACCCATTCTTCCACCCATATCCTTCTATATCTCTCTCTACTCATTTCTCATTCCCTCCTGAATATATACTTGTAGAAGGCACCCTACGTTAAGATTCTTTGCATGGCAGTTCTCATAATTATCATAATAGGATGCATAGAAAGGAAAATCCTGACTTCACACAGCCACTTAAAAGATCTCAGCTAGCAGTGACTGAAACCAGAAATAGGTCTTACGTTTGTGATGGATTAGTAATATGAGAATTTAAGTGGCTACACTGAAAAGGATAAAATTTCACATTGGAGAGGACTAGGGAAGAAATCAGAAATAAAATTGGAATTATCCTGATGTTCTTCTGTAATCTTATGGGATAACCACACTTGCATTTTTTGTGCAGGAAACCACATACACACACACACACACACTAATAATAATAATAATAATAATAATAATAATAATAATAATAAGAAGAAGAAGAAGAAGAAGAAGAAGAAGAAGAAGAAGAAGATAAGCAAGTTAATAAATTTTATTATTTAGATATATATAACATTTATTAACTTGTTTATCTACTTATTATTGATTGATTGATTTAATTTATATCATTAGAATGACTCTCCCAATAATGATTCCCATTTACTGCTGAACATAACAACTAACAGGGTGCAAACATCTTATGGAAACTCAATTTCCTTCTTGGTAGAAGTGTTAAAATCTGTTATTAAGTGTTCACATGTATGCTAAATTGATGGTTATAAATTCACAAGGTTGAGCATCAAATGCACTATTTACAGTAGCTCTGCTCTGAAGTATGAAGAGTGAGATGTATGTAGATAATATTGTTACATCTTTCCTGTAACACCTCTCTTCCCTAAGGCATTGCAAGCTTGAGGTGTTAATTACATAGGAGCCATCTAATGCCCAGAGAACATGATGCAATGTGCATTAGATTCTGCAAGTCAAAAAAAAAAAAATCCAACCCTTGTTTCAGTTTTCTGTTTAAGTGCTTCACAACTGGTAAGGGTATGTGCAGATTCTATATGCCTTTTACTGTACTGTATGTTTATAAGAATTTAACTTTCAATTGCGAAATAGTTTTACTTCACTGGTTTATGACACATGATTTGCACTAACTCTATGTCAATATATATCTACCCCATTTTCTTGTTTTCTCCCCTTCTATGCCTTCAAATTACTTTGTAATGTCCAAAGAACTCATGAGAAAGATTACACCAAATTAAGCCAACTTTGTAACTCTTGGAGATAAAATTATTGCAATTTGTTCTTCTCCATATTGAAATTACCCAACTTTGGTCAGGAATGGAGAGCATTTTCAACCTTGAAGACATATATTACTAGTTATTTAGACATACTATTGTTACACCCCACATCTTTTCACACAGTCAAATTATCAACAGAACTGTGCAATCTTGGGCACAATCACTGGGAGGGAGTAGAAGTTTTCATTGCTTTCTCTTTCCTCTCAGTTATTTTAGTGCAGATTTCTCGCTTGCCACCTAGCAGCTGTCTTCAATGAGGCATCTTTCCCACATGTAACAACCATGTTCACAGCAATATTTAGTTAGATTTTCAATTCACATTACTAGAGCAGGAATGCAAGCAAGGGCAGGGTTTTTCAAATCAGATTCCACAGAACCTCAAGTTCCATGAGCACTTGATGGGATTCCACAAGAGACTAAACCCAAAAAATATTAAATAACAGTAATATATAAATGTGTATAAATGAATATGTGCCTGTTCATTTTTTTCAGTTTTCTATCCCTAAAGTTTTGCCTCTTGATAAAGATTTTTTTTTAACTAACAGATTTCACAACTGGAAAAAAAATGAAAAACCTGCTTGAGAAAATGTGGACTTCATTTCTCATTGTGCTCAGCCAGCATGGTTGATACTAAGAGGTTGTGAGGGTTGCAGGACACTACATTTGGAGAAGACTCTTTTAAAAAATGTGAAGCTTTCTGGGCATTCTACGGTATAATGCTACATCAATATTATTATTGTTGTTGTTATTGTTATTGCTATTACAACTAACATCTGCAAAGGAGTATTCTATAGAACACATTCAGGGCAAACCTGACAGAAAAATGCTGTTAATTAAAATCACAGAGAAGGCTTCCTGTACCTTTCTTCCAAGAAAACACAACATTTTTAAAAGATTCTTCTCCCCAAAAGTGTCAGGTAAATGAAAACAATTCAAGATCTCAAATTAATAAGAAGTATTGGGAGTATTCCCCCACTTATCATCAACATAAACTAATCCAGTACAGTCCTGTGTGCATCAAGAGTTTGGGGGCTATTATTCTGTTGCCCTGTCATTACTATTGTTGAATGTCCACGCTTTTTCTTTAAAAAAAATGGAGAAATGAAGTGGCTATACGAAATAAAAGTACATTAAGGATCTTTAATTACAGAAGTTTCCTCCAACAGGAAGATTATTCTGAGGGTCCAAAATACTTAATAAATGCAGTATTTAGGTAAGGTCTCTTAATTATGGACAGAGCTTGGAAATTCAAAGAGGACCTACTATCTGAAATAAGATCCCCTTGTAATGTTCAATGCATTTCTACCAATGTTCAAAATAACCGTGTAGTGATTAACATAGCAGTTTGGGGTGTATTTTTTTTAATCCAGACTGGGAATAAGCTTCCAAAAAAAATCTGCTATTTGAAGTATGAATGGGACTGGTTTGATTTGTGCACAGAACAAAACCTTCCTCCCTTAGATTATTTTTAATATGATTTTTACACTGAACTCCAGGGAACATGGGCCTTGCAATTTAATCACCTTTTGCCCTTCAAGGTAGACACCCAGAACAATCCATAACCTTCTGCTGCCCTCTGCAAACACAAATCAAGTATACAGCGGCTGTTGTTCTGGTTCTTTCATCCTATTTGGAGGTATGATGACAGCTGCTCCTTCCAACTAGTCTTACACAGTGTAAATGTTGACTTGCTCTTCTCCCAATACATTTTACTAGGGGAACACCTGCTATTCTGACAATCTTTTGTGCCTTTACTCAAAAGTAAGACCTCTTATATGCAGTGGTTTATCTGAGACAAGCAATGCCATTTCTGCACATATTCTTTCCTCTCCCATCCCCACTCCACAAAGGAAGGAAGGGTGGATGGATGAGGGACTTCTTCCATTTTCTACCGTAGGGAGATAGGAGATGGAGTGGTATCACAGTCTCTCATAATCAAGGAAGTCTTTAAGAAGACATGCAATAAATACATTTTATGTGATGGGAAACTTTTATAGAAAGAGATGGAGATTCGGTGCTGTTTCCCCGCTGTAAAAAGACTTGGGGGAGGAATGCTAAAAATCTGCTGAAGGGAGGAAGGGAAACATCTTAGCTCAGTAGTAAAAAGCATATGCACTGACTGCAAAGAGCCTCAGGTGCAAATCCTGCTGCCTTCAGCTTTCAAAGGCTGCGGACAACAGAACCAGGGAAAGATGCCAGAGCTTGATACACGCGTAAAGACGCTTTGGGCGAAAGAAACAGCCTCGTGTTCCCTTGGATGTGCCGCACGGGACTCAGGGACGCCTAGTCCAGACAGCTGGGAGCGCCAGCCGTTTGCTCCCGCCCTGCTACCGGAGATCAAACCCGCAGCTTCACGGAAAACCAGAACAAGCTTTGGAAATCTTGTAGGGGGGAGATCAGCCCCCACGATCGGGGAGGCGAGAGCCCCCCCACGGCTCGCTCGTTTTTCTGACACCCCCCCCCCAAAGGCAACTCACCCTCGCAGTGACCTTATATACCGTGTATCCCCGAGGGTGGCGCTTGGGCTCGGTGACCGTGTAGAATCGGGCCACCTCCCCGCCTCGATTCCGCGGGGAGATCATCCTTGCCGCCGTGGCTGATGGTGCAGCGGCCCTGTCGGAGATGCCGAGGCTGCCGCTTTCCCCGGCGCCGGGTGGGCGCCGCCTCTCAGAGCTGTCAGTCAATCGATCCACCCCCGGGTCAGGCCCGGACTCGAGGCGGAAGCAGCTACGGAAGTACTGTGGCGGTGCCGGTTCCCTCGTGGTAATTCAGCCAGCGGTAAGTTTTCCCCCTAGCAAAGTGTTTCTCAACCTTGGCCGCTGGACGATGTATGGACTTCAACTCCCAGAATTCCCCAGCCAGCAGAGCTGGCTGGGGAGTTCTGGGAGTTGAAGTCCACACATCGTCCAGCGGCTAAGATTGAGAAACACTGTCTTAGCAGATCGATCCCTATCCACCCAACCACCCACCCTTAACGGCTGGAGACAAGGAAAAGGATCTTCGCAACGATGTTAAAATCGAACAATAAATGTCGGGGCATAAACAACTATGGCGCTTTTTTGGTATCGGGAAAAAAAAAATGGAAAAAGCGCTCGGCTGTGCCTGGTATTTCCCAGTCTAGTAGGGAATTCAAGAGTTGAATTCAGTGAGGTTTAGACTCATTTACGATTTGTTTTCATCGTAGTCCTCGGTGTGCAGTGTAAATGCATGTTTGTGGCATTTTTCTAATGTTGCCCTCTGCTATTCTGAATGGGAAGGATGTAAGACAGAATTAAGAGAGAGAGAGAGAGAGATTTTTTTCCTAATTCCAATTAGTAATTTCCAGACAGATGTTACCTTACTTCAAATGTTGAACCAAAAAATAATAATAGTATTGCAGTTTAACCGATTATGCAAAATTGGTACTTGTTTCAGTGACGTGAAGGGCATTGCAATTATACAAAACACTTGAAATAAGGTAATATAAAAATAAAAAATGAGTCCTTATTAGGGAACTTTGATGAACAATGGACTATTGTAGAAATAATGGCAGAATGCCATTACGTCAATTTAACCAACTACATTCACCAAAGTACAATGAGATGCAAAATAAGCTAAAATTTTCCCCAGGAACCATTACCAATTGGTTACTATTCGGGACTACCAATTCAGCCAACCAAATTCCTGGCATTACTAGGGGATCCTGATTTTTAAAAAATCAACTCTCCAAAGTAACCAAGTTTTGACTTTTGGAGGGTTTATGTTCAACACAACAGATAAATTTGGATAATGGGAAAGTGGACTTTCCAAACCATGTTGAGTATACAGAAAACATAACCAGAATAGGTAGGAAAGGACTTCTTGTTCATTTTGTTTATTTTTCTTCAGGGTCTTCTAATAAGTATAGAGTGATGTTGGTTGGCAGTAAAGCAAACATTCCAGACAAATATTTTTGCACAGAATAGTGAAATATGATTCACAAGGAAATATTGGCACTTTTTGCATCAAGGTCTTTTTATTCTATAGTCTAGTTTCCCTGAAAATAAACCCTTCCCCCAAAATAAACCTTCCCTGAAAATATTTAACCACATGCGCAGCCAGTCCCCACCATTCCTCTGGTTAGGGTTAGGGAGACAGCTGGAAATCAGGTAAGATGGCAAGAGCCCCGTCTTGCTCCATGCACCCCAAAATAATAAGACCTCCCCGAAAATAAGGCCAAGCACTTATTTCAGGGTTCAAAAAATATAAGACAGGGTCTTATTTTTGGGGAAACACGGTACTTAAATTAGCTAGAAAACTAGAATTCCAAGAAGTTCTGCTTTGGTTTAGAAGTGGCTTTTCTTAAAATAGTTATTTCTCCCTAACATATCCCACTATTTAAATCATTTTATTTTAAATGGATTCATACTACCATTCCTTTCTGGAGTTTACAGGATTTTGTTAAAATCTGTTTTTATTTCCTAATTCCTATATGACAGGATTGTCCAGCAATTGAAAATTAATATCAAGTTCTGTGAACATTATTTAGGTTTAACAAGATTGAAGGAAGTAGAGCAAGGGTAAAAAACAGGATAGGATCAAATCATTACAGATAACATCCCTATAAAGTCTTTGGAAGAGCTGGGGACTGTTGCCATTTAGGTTTAAATGTTTAGAATTTTTTCATACAATCATCAGAGATCAGGAAGAATTTGATGACAACTAATTAGCTATATCACTATAGAAAGTTAGAAAGTTCTTCGTTGTGGGTGTGAAAGTGAAAGTTGGAAATGAAAGTGCTTGTTAACAGATTTGTGCTCAGAGACTAGATTTAAATTGCTGGGATTTGAGAGCTGGGTGTAGAAAAGACTATCTTGCTTGATAAATTACAAATAAATCTGAGAAAGCTGTTCAAGAGATTTTATGGCTGTGAAAAGAAAAATTCTTTTAAAATAATATGGCTTCCAAGCAAGGAGTTTCTGAAAGTGGTGGAGGCTCTCCAATGGCGGCAGAAACGACACAGAGAACTGAATTATAGAGCCAGGAGGATTTTTTTAGAGACCTTACAGAATTTATAAAGGAAGCCATGAATAACCAAATTGTAATTATTAATAACCTAACACCAGTCATAGAACAAAAATTTATAGAACCAGTGGAGGATATAAAAGCAACTGAGGATGTTTTTGAAGGAAAGCACAATGACAATGTAGGAGACATTTTGACCAAAACAGAGAAGCTGAAAATGGCTGGCTCTCAAGAATCTTCAAACTTTCTTCCTGCCCTTTTGGAATTAACTGACAGAACTTTTCAAAAATATAATTTTGAGCAGAAAGAAGAAGAAACTGACCAGCCCTACGATGTTTCAGAGGATAAAGAAGACTTAGCAGAGGCTTTCACACAATTAATTGAAATGCAACAACTGGACTTTTCTTTGCAAACTGATCGAGTTAATTCTTCCTTCTATGAACTGACTGATTATATAAGCAAGAAGAGTCGATATGGGGGTTCTAAATCAGAGGAAATGGTTCCAAGAAAGGGACAAGTTTTAAAGATACATCAACCCCCAGTTAAAATTCAAAACCTCCTCAAAATAAAAGTAGGAGGGAGGAAGAAAGACTGGAAAAAATACAGAAAGAAAGGAAGAATGGAAGATTAACTTTCTCTGATCTAACTATTGATGTATTAATGATTAATTATAATGATTAAGTAAATGAATTAAGAGTTCAATTAATGATTAATTAAGGTTTAATTATTGTTGTATTAAGATTTTTAAAAATATTTGAAGGAGGAAGAGTAACATGATTAAGTAAATGAACTAAGAATATCTTACAGATGTATTACGAGATTTTTAGGCTTTGAATGATCTATTAGTATTTGTTAATGATTTTTAAAAACTCTTAGGGCTAAAGGATTATATGTTATTCTGAGTTTAAAGGGAGGTTGATGAATAATCTGTAGAAGGGGAGTTAAGGGGTCTAGGGAGTTTTAATGTCTTGCATTAACTTAGTATATTTTAGCGTATGTTTGGTAAAATTTATACCCTGTTTTTCTTCTGGGAAGTCGGGGGAGGGGGGAGGGAAGGGGGGGTTGAAGGTTGGGTTAACAAATGTTTAAATAGATAAGTGAAAATGTTATTTGTTTGAATTTAAAAAATAATAAAAACTTTTTGTTTTAAAAAAAAAAGTAAGTTAGAAAGTTAAAGCATAGTTCCACTGAATATTGAATGTCATTTATACATTGTATATATTGCCTTTCCAAACAGTAACTGAAACATAAGAACTGTATTTTCATACACAAATATTGAATTAACGAGGATTTGGAAAATATGTTTCAATATAAAAGGATGTGAGCATAATATCTTATCTGCAACACTTTAATACAAGTCTTTTCCTGAGATCACATGCTCACTTTATCATATCTCAACACATTTTTCTATTCACACTGCAATAATTTGTGTTGTGTTTTCTGTATATTTGAGAGATTACAATCTGAAGATGGAATCAACCTTCTGTTCAGATTTTTTAAGAAATCAATTTTTAGAAGATATAACTTCATGATCAAAAATGAAAAGACTAGTTAAACCTTCTGACTCTTTGTTTAATCTTGACTCTGCTGTGTTATACTAGCGAACTATATATTGTGTGTGTGCATGCACACACATATACATTATATGTAGTCTTCAAACATTTCCTTTATTTTATGGGCTAAAGCACAGAGGAGAGGAAAATACTGATACAAAACATAGGGAATAACTACTCCACCAGGCAGAATATTTAAAGGGCAAATGTCTGCAGGGTAAGTTTTCATGCCTGGAAAACTATGCCCCATCCCCACCTCTGCAGATCCCCACCTCTGCAGAAATCAGTGCTAAGCGGAGTGGATTTAAATCAACTTGATTTAAATCATAATTTTTAAAGAGAAACTGTCATCTCTATCCTGCAGTGGCTCCTCCTCTGACCTGCTTTTGACTCACCAACAGTCCCATTCACTTTAAGGAGATGGCTGGTGATGCAGCAGTGACACAATAAGGTGAAGGACATGGCAGGCTGCAGGTGAGTGGATGCCCACTAACAGGCACCGCCATGATGGATCTGAAATGACAGGTGCTCTTTAAATGTAAGGACTCATTCTTGCTGGTAGTTAGAATCCTTAATATTATTATTTGCAAACAAAATGAAGGTTTCCTATTTAGAGTGCATATTATCTCAGCTTGCAGAGCTTGGATTCATTGAATGAGTTTACTAAAAATGTAAATATTGCAGAATATACAGCCTCATGCTACATAACTAAGCTCCATTTCATGCTGAATAAACTAAATTATTAATGTATCTTAAATAGAAAACTACCTTTAGATTTTTACTCCAAAAGCATTTTATTAAAATAAATATGATAAAAAAAATTTAAAAATCCGATTTAAATAAAAAAAATCCAATTTATTTGTTTTTTTAAAAATCTGATTTTTATGCACCCTGGTGCCAAGTACCATATAGCACATGCAGTTGGGGAAACTTTAGTGCCTTTACTCTCACATTCCCTTCATTTTCAAGGTATATTTTGGAAGCAGATTAAAATACTTATAATAGCAGCAAAAGCAATAAAATCTGGTCACAAATTTAATATAAAATTTGTAAGTTCCTCCTGGATCCGGACTCAGTGTTTTGCTTTGTATCCATTTCACCATGAGGATCAATAATCAAGGTGTTTCGTGTGTGGATTTTCTACAACATGCTGCAGAACAGAATCCTACACAATGTGCAGATAGGCCTAAATCTTTCCCCTTTAAAATGTAAATTTTAATTTGTTTTTAAAATTATTGGGTGTTTTAAATTTGTCTCGGCCAAATTGTTTAATTTGGTTTTATTCTGTTTTTAAATTTTGTATTTATGTGTTTTATTCTGTGGCTGTTCACCGCCCTGAGTCCTTCGGGAGTAGGGCGGTATATAAATCCAATAAATGAAATGAAAAAAATGAAATGAAATAAAATTAGTGCAATTAAGATAGCCTTTGTCTGTAATTTACTGACAGTCAGTTCTCTGAAAATGGTTACATTATAAAGGGAAAATAAATAAAAAATAGAAATGTAGGACTGTAAAAGCTAACAAATGTGTTACATTAGCTTCTGTGAGTCTTGCTTATACATCTAGGGCCAAATACAGACCAAAACCCTTCTTCATTAATGCGTTGTCATGCTGTAATCTGCAGTTAAAATCTATAAATTTGGGCAGGCTATACACTGTACAATTTATAAACAAATAAAAATAGTAAATAGTACTACATATGATTTTTGATAAGAAAATGGGCAAGATCTTTTGTTTGAAAATGTTGCCACAATGTTTTATTGCTGCCAAATGTAATACAGAATATACATCTGATTATTTTCTCCGAAGGCTGCATAACACTTGGGATTTTTCTGCTACATTCAACTGCACTTGAGATTCTCCTCATTTTAGATTGTGAGATCATGACAACGCTTCTATGTTCTAGGTATAGCAGCCAGTATTTCCATGACAACTTCACTACAGTACTGTATAGATTTTCATGAGCATTCTTACTGTATTTGATTTTAAAAGGATAGAATCTGTTTTGATTGTTCAGTGACTTCTGCTTCATTCAGTTAAAACTAGATGAAGAATGCCATCATGACAATAAGGTTTGTAATATATGAATTTGTTAGATATTTAACACTCATTTAATTGCCATGTACCAAAGCACTCATTCTCTTTATTGAGAAGCGAACATTAAAATAGTTGTTTTGCTTAATTACACCCAGCTCCGCACATTTAACACAATAGCTTGAGTAAGATTATGCTAAAACTTAGAACTAAATCCCAAATTAGTATCGATATTGAAGCTATGTAGCACTATACGCACATGAATATAATTTTTTTTAAGTTTTAAAAGGGAAGATAAAAATGCAAATAAATATAAAATAAATAAAAAAAGAAATCAGAAAGCTAAAATGTTTAGAAAAGAAAAATAGAAAAGAAAGAAAAAATGCAAAGACACTTTTTATAATCTATAAAATCATCAAAACATAATCTAGTCAACAGTAAACAACTAAGCTGGAAGGAATAGCCAACCATTTAGAAATAATATCCAGAAGGAAAGACTTCAACACTGGGCCTTATTCAGCAAAGTGCAAACTCACGGATGCAGCTTTGTGCCTGCCTTATCAGTCAGGATCAATCCAAACTTGCAGTTCATTAATAAGTTAACCACACAGAGAGACAGATATTATAAGCACAACGTAATGTTTTTTATGTAAACTTTTTTTTAGTCATATTAAGTCCAAATGTATTTGATAAACACACTTTTCAGGATTGCACCGAATCTTTGATTAGAAAGCTGAATTTATGAACTTCAATTCAGTCACTCTATTTCTGCCAATTCACCGCATGGGAATCACTATGAATGTTGAAATCTACCAATGAACTTCTTTAAACAAGGCATAGTATAAAAATAATGACAATTGCAATTCAAATATAAATAGATGAATACTGAAGAACATTATTTTAAACCTCGGTCTTCATCAAATAGTTTCGAAAGCAGTCTATAAATTCGGCAAGTTGTAGAACTCCTGTCCAAAATTAAATAGCAAAAAGTTATCTAAATGAAGCGTCCTGCCTAAGTCCATCCTCCATGCACAGAGCAGGGCCAGCAACCGCTACTCAGAGGAACCTGCTGAGCTCACTGCAGGTTTTGACTCAGGTACTGAAGAAACATGCCGCCCAGCTGAGGTAGATTTTGTTCGCCTTCTCCCGGGTGCATCTTGGCATAACTGAGGAACTGCCTTCGCAGGCGGCTCAGCTCAGCCAGGCTGACCGGCCTGTTAAACAGCAAGCCCGGAGGCTCTCGGCCGCCTCCTGCTAATCCATCCACCGCCACCGGAATGAACTGTCCGGCCTGGGCGCCGTCCCTCTGAGCAGCCATGACGGCGGCCAGCACCTCTTGGGTCAGGCGGTCGAGTTGGTGAAGGAAGCCGGCGGCTTGGAGCGGCTGGGAGCGCGTGGACTGGTTGGGAGGAGGCGGGCGGCGCTCCAAGAGGGCGGCGCGGATCTCGGGCAGCGGCAGGGGCTCGGCCGGGTCCTGGGGCGCCAGGAAGAGAGGCCAGTCCCAGCGGTTTTGCGAGTCCGGCGGCTCCAAAGGAGGGCGGTCGGGGAGCGCGCTCCCTCCCGGGCAGAGCACCAGGCAGTGCGGGGTCCCCGCGTGCTTGCTGAGGCAGTAGAGCTCGTAACGGAAGCTCTTCAGCTCGCTGCCCGCGTCGACGATAACTACGTCCCGCTGGTTCAGCAGCCGCTCGGCCGCCGCCCTCAAGGCAGCCCGGCCTCCGGCCACGTCCGCCTCGGATACAACGAAGGCGCGCCGTTCGCCTTCAGAGACCAAAGAGGCGCGCAGCTCTTCGGCGCGCCGGCTCTTGCCGCTGCCCGGCAGCCCGCAGAGCAACACCAACGGCATCTCGCCGCCTTCGCTCAATCTCCCGAGGAAACCTCTCGGTCTATCATTTCTGCTTCCGCCCAACGCTGAGATGGCGGCAGCGACGTTTCCGTTAGTTAACCAAGAAGGTTTTTTTTCGAGCGCGCTTTCCTCTTCCGGTCCCCTCCCCCTCTCTCTCTCCAACCACTTCTTCGAGATTCGGACATCGGAAAGACCAAAGAGAGAAAATAATGAAGAGCAGTTTCCAGTTCGAACTTCCTGGCTCGCACCAAACCCTTAGATCAATTAATCCGCCCGCCACGAGATGATCGCCTAAAAGAACTCAAGAGTTCAACTCTAGCCACCTCTTTGATCCTTCAGCACAACTGGGATTCCCAAGCAGTTCCCTAAACGGGGGAAATAGGAGGGGTTTAAAAGAACCCAAAGAGACTTTCTAAGCGGGTTATTTTTCGTGAGTCTACGGCCCTGGGAAAAAAAACATAAAACTACAAGTCCCATGCGCCGAAGCGAAAGCAGAGGTGGTGAGAAAGAGGGTCGGGGAAGCAGGTGGGCTTTGTTCTGCGGGAGGAGTGGCTGGTTTGGAGCACGCGCGGGGCTGAGTCCTGACCGCGCGCGGTGAATGAAAGAGGCGGTGGCGGCGGCGGCGGCGGCGGCGGCGGCCTGAGATGACCCGTCGGGCGAGTGACGGTGGAGAGCAGCAGCGGTCTGGCCAGGAGAGCGGAAGCGGCCCGCTTGGAGGTAAAGATAGGGACCTCCCTCGTGGCCTAGGGCAGGCTCCCCAAATCCCAGTGCCGTCGGATATGTTGGACTACAACTCACATCACTCCCTCCCTTGATATGTATGGTCACTGTAGTCGAGCATCCCCGTGGAACGCTGGCCAGAAGGATAAGAACTGCCCCTTCTGATTTAACCTGCTCGGGGTAGGATGTGGAGGATGGTGTTTTCTTGCAGATGTTTCATTACCCAAACTAGGTAACATCATCAGTGCTAGCATGCTACGTGGTTTGGGTAATGAAGCGTCTGGAAGAAAACAAGCAAGCCCAAAAAGCACCAAGGACCCCTCATTTCACCCCTGATCTGCAAATACTCTCCTTTATCCATAGTGAAACAGACAATCATTAACCAAGCAGCACTTCTCTATATATAGAGGCTGGATTAAAAGTCTATAGAGATTCTCAATCATCCAGGTCATGGTTGTCCCAAAGGTGTTTTCTCAGGAGGCAACTGGACTTTCTTGTTTTTTCTTTGAGGACATGTTGCTTCTCATCTAAGAAGCTTCTTCAGCTTCTTAGCTGGAGGATAGTGGGGAATGGAAAGATTTATATTTGTCAGGTCCCAGATATTTCTACAGGGACACTGGCATTTTTGTGGGAGGAAGTGGGGGAGGAATGGAGTGGTCTGTATATGAAGTTTGTTTCCAGTTTCTGTTTCCTACATTACTGTGCTAATTTCTTTCTGTTTTGTTTCGTTTTGTTTCGTTTTTTTGTATTACTGTGTTAATCTCTATATGAGGTCTCTGTTTCTGTTTCCCTGCAATGATGTAGTGTGGGAGGGGTTTGGTTAGCATTGCTTTAAATAGCTGGTTGTATGTGAGAAGCTTCAGTTCTTGCCTAGATCTCTTGTTATCACAAACCTTCCAATAAAAGTTCCTTTTGGAACAACTGCAGTTTCAAGAGTCCTGCTTTCTTGGGAAGACTGGAGAGGCAAGACCTTACATTAGGCAAAAACTGCAAACTGGTCAACCCAGAGGAAGGAAGCAGCCCTACCATGGGGACCATGCATACCATGTCTGCCCAGTGCAGTGACCACGAAGAGGCTGAAGACTGGGGGAGAACCCCATCCCTTAAAATCTCAATTGAGGCCCTCAATGCCTGGGTTGAGGAGAACATTGCCTCAAGCACCGCTGCCAAGCCGAGGTGGTCCATCGATGTTGGGAAGATGGAGAGCTGGGGCAGAACCAAAGATGTCACCCTCACCCAATGACTTGGTTGGAAGCAGGAGATGGGAGACCTTTACGACAATGATGAACTGAAGGAGCCCTAGACCAGACCAACCAATTCCTGAGGGAAGCCATGAACGTAATGAGGGAGGCCATTCATGATATGCGGATCCAGGACACCCAGGCTTGTGCTGCAGGCCAGTTAGGAGTACAAAAGGAGGCTACTGATAAACGGAAGGGATCCCCAACCCTAGGGGCATTGACTGAAACCGCGGGGTCTACTGATGAACCCATTTTCACCATGGAAGATCCGCCCAGGAGATATCTCAATGCAAAACAAGGCTTGCAACTCAATGAGAGGAGGGCTTCCACCCTTAGAACGGAAGATGCCCCCTCTTGACATCAAATTTGACAGGAATCACTGGGGATTTTTCCTTGCACACGTACTGACCTACATGCAGGAGTATGGGAAGGATCTCCCTACAGAAGGTGCCAAAGTCAGGGTTGTCACCCTGGCTCTAGAAGGGTCAGCTGCACATTTGATGGTCCTCAAATCTCCATCTCAGGGCTGTCATGAAATGGTTGAAGTTGCGGAGTTCTGGTGCATCTGCATTATGGAGGCCCCCTAGCTGACCGCAAGGCTAGAGATTGCATAAGGCATATCAAACAGGGACGCCATCCAGTCACCGAGTACATCAAAGAGTTTCGTGATCTGACTTGCCACATAGATTAGCTATAGGAAATACTCGTGAGTTGGTTCAAAGATGGCTTAAATGATGACATGTACAACACCTGTGTTGCCCGTGGAGCCCCAGTCTGCCTGCACAGCTGGTGTGTCTTGGCTGAGGAAACGAAAATCGACCTAGCTCAAAACCAGTACCGCGCAAACCCCTCCTGGAAGAGATCCCTGCCGGAAGGAAGAAGGGAGAAAACCAAACCTCGCTCTGTCCTGCCATGCTCAGTCACCCGCTTCCATTGCGGGAAGGAAGGTCACTGTGCAAACGAGTGCTGTGTGAGAATATCCACCTGAAAGGGAAAGAAGCAGGTCAGAGGGAAACACTCAAAGCCACTATGGTGTGCCAAAGATATTGCCCTGAAGACCCATGTGGTCGTTGAGTTCCTGCCGGAATCAATTACGGTGCAAGGAACTCCAACCCCTCCGGTGGAGGAGCCCAGTCAGTTGGAGAGCGACTACAAAGACCCTTTGGTGAGTGGGGTTGTCGAACCCTTTACAACCCCTATAGAACTGTTAATTTCAGTAACGGGGAGAAAAGTGAGACTTAAGGCATTGCTAGATTTGGGGTGCACAAGAAAACTAATAAGCCCAACTCTGGTTGGGGAACTGTGCATTCAACTAAGACCATTAAAAACCCCAGTCTCGTTCTGCCAACTTGATGGGTCCATTGCAGGGGGTGCCCCAGCCATGTTTGCCACTGAACCACTTGAACTAACAATGGTAAATCACTCCGAAACCATTGCTTTCATTGTGACTCCAGGGGTGGACTGGGCCCTAGTTCTGGGGCTAACCTGGTTAAAGAAGTGGAATCCAAGGGTGGACTGGACAGAGGGGACCCTCCAATTCCCTAATGATGAATTAATTCGGAACGAGGAACCCTACCAGACTAAAATGAGTGAGGAATTAGCTACAGCTGTGGCGAATGGACCACTACTGGATATCCCCAGGGAATACCAGGATTTGATGGATCTTTTCAATGAAGAGGCCTCAGATGAACTCCCCACCCCCACCCCCATAGGGAGAATTTTTTCTAAACTAGACTTGCAGGAGGCTTATTACCAGATCAGGATCTGAGAAGGGGATGAATGGAAAACAGTATTTAATTGTCCGCTTAGATGTTTTCAGTTCAAGGTTTTGCCATTCGGACTCCAAGGGGCTCCCGCCGTTTTCATGCAGCTAATTAATGAGGTGCTGATGAGCACTTGTATAAGGAAGTTTTGGCTTATCTTGATGATATAATGACTTATACTGAAACTAAGACGCAACATGTTAAATTGGTGTGGGAGGTTTCGAAGAAATTAAGGGCAGCTAAATTGTTTGCCAAACTCTCCAAATGTGATTTTCACCAAGATAAGATAGATTACCTAGGACCGTGATGGCAAACCTATGGCATGCGTGCCACAGGTGGCACGCAGAGCCCTTTCTGCGGGCAGGCCAGCCGTCGCCCCAGCCCAGCTCCACCGCACATGCATGCACCTCCCATCGGCCAGCTGGTCTTCGGGTCTCTGCTGCGCATGCACGGGGGCAGGGCCTTCCCCAATCTCTGCAGGTTCCACCCTCTGCACACGCCTCTCCGTGGCAGGAAAGCAGAAAAAAGCTAAGACGCGATGGGGGTAGAAACTGCAAAGATCGGAGGAGGCACGGAAGGCAGGAGGCACTCATTGGGGGGAGAAACTTGGAGATCGTGGAAGGTAGGAGGTAGGTAGGATTCGATGGGGGAGAAACTTTGGAGATCAGAGAAGGCAGGAGGCAGCTAGGATTTGATGGGGGAGAAACTGCAAAGATTGGAGAAGGCAGGAATGCAGGAGAAAGCTAAGATGCTATCTCCACAGTTTCTCCCTCATCGAGTCCTAGCTGCCTCCTGCCTTCCGTGCCTTCTCCGATCTTTGCAGTTTCTACCCCCTTTGAGTCCTAGCTACCTCCCCCACACCCTATTTTGGGCCTGAAAAGCCTCCTGCATCAACTTGGAAGCCAAAACGGCCCAGGGCGCATGTGCAGGGGAGGCGCATGCGCAGGGGAGGCGCATGGGCAGGGGAGGCGCATGCGCAGGGGAGGCACATGCAAGCGCAGGGCGCATGCGCAGGGGGCACTCACATTGCATTTTGGGGGTTGTGCATTTTGAACTGGGCATAACTTAATGCAAGCGTGTGCATGCATGCTTTGGGCACTCGGCACCAAAAGGTTAACCATCACTGACCTAGGGTATAGAATCTCTCACCAGGGGATGGAAATGGAGCCCGCAAAAGTCAGAGCAGTTCTCGAGTGGGAAACCCCCCGTACTCGCAAACAATTGCAGAGCTTCCTGGGGTTCGCTAACTTTTATAGGCAGTTTATGTCCTCTTTTGCCCAAATAACATTACCGATTACAAATTTGTTAAAAACCAAGGAGGTAGATAAACCGAAACCTAGTCAACCTCTGACTTGGACTATGGCCTGCCAAGTGGC